ATAGACTCAGTGCTGCTTGTGCAAGCACCGGTCTCAGAATCAATAAAGTGAAAAGTGTGGTTGACAGTCTCATACTGGTATCCCTCTGGCATGTACTTGATTTTACTGCATGCAGCCTACTGATCAGACATTATAGTTGTTCCTGGAACAACATACTGCTTGATCAGTGGCAGAAGAGTGAGAGCATCTCGTCGTTCCACTCAAACGACGAAGCATTTATTGGTCTCTCGGCCAATGCCTCCAAAACACCATTGCTTCTATATAACCCTACCTCTGTTGTGCTTTCTCCTCGTAAAGAGTGTCTCGTCAATCTCCACTACCTTAACAGGGCTCGCAATCTTTAAAAGATGTCTTAGGAAATGTCTTGTGCAAACAATTTTAAAATAATTCCTGAAATCAAGTAAAGTGTAGAAGCGTAGTTTGCTACCCGTTTCACAGAGCAATCCCTCTGCTATATCTTCGTATGTAAGCCTTCTGTGCTTCGCTCAGTACTTAGATAGGCAGAAGACATCCTTTAAAGTCAATTAAGAGTGTTTGAAAAATGTGCCGCTATAGAAATCCACTTTCTTGCAGCACTGCCGTCTTTTGAACTTGAAGTACCTGTTTCACTTGACTCTTCCCTTCTTCATCTCAGTACAAAGCATCATCCCCGCTTTACAAGACCAAACGCGGATAACGTAAATTAAGTGAAGAGAAACCATCGACGCCTCGAAGTTCCCGTCTGAAAAACCGAGCTTCCCTGCCAGCGTCCTACGGTCAAAAGAGGGCAGACAACCCATATCAGTACAATTTTGTAAACTGATCTTTTTTCCGCTAATAAGCCAGAAGAGAAGTGAGGTGACATCCAACAGGTAGCCTTCTTTAATTTTATAATCATAGTTACGAATTGTAAACCAGAAGCTCTGGCATAAAAACTGGAACCAATGCAGCATTGCTACATCGCAAGGTTTCACTAATCTTCCCTTATAAGGCTTCGCTTCGCTCAGCTCTCCTGCGCCGCCACTGCCGTCCTCTTCCCCATTGCCGCTGTCCTCTTTCTCAAGTTTCCCTCCAAAAACCAGCTAGCCAGTCAGCGCGCTACGGCCGTCAATCGACAAGGGTGCCAAGCTTTCTTCACGCCTTCGGCTGCTTTCACAGTACAAGAGAATCTCCCAATTAAACCAGCTAAGTTGCAACTAATTTCAAGGTTTACTCCTTGGATTTAATTTTAGAAACAACAAAACTGCAGGACTGCAGCTTAATTGTTTTTTGTAAAGGTGTAACCAATAAATATAACCAATATAACCAATGCTCAGTTCTTGTTGATTCATATTCGCCGATTTGATTGTCAACGATGATAGAATTTTGTTTCACTCAAGTGAGTTTTAGCGGTTTTGCGTGTAACATGACATTCGACATATTTTTCCTCTACTTTATCATACAGAACGTAACTGCTTGGGACAAGTGAGTTGCGAATACTTTCAAGACGGCACTAAAAATTCAATAACGGTTTTTAAAGACAAAAATGTTCTTAAATTTCTGATGCACTGCCGCAACATCTTCTAACCATCTACCGACAGTTTTCCTCTGTCATATTCCAAGGTCACAAATTACATTTCTGGTTTTACCTGCTCTTTGCTGTGATTTGGTGTAAGTATCAAAAAAAATTGTCGGAATCCCTTCCAGAACATGTTATCAAGGAACACTGCCAAGTCATACTTCAATCAGGGTTGCGTCGGCTAGCCAAGACGCTTATTGTCTAGTAAAGCTTAGGCAGAAATGCGAAAAATCAAGTCAGAAACACAGAAAATTTGTTTTTTAAATAATAGTTTTGGAATTCTGTCTGCATGTCCAAATTGACGAATAGAACGACATCGGATTTTGAAAAAGTAGGTTATCAGATATAACACCCACCGTTGTGAACAACTAGCGGCCAAAAGTAGAATACCTCCTTAAGCCACAAATGGTAACTAGCAATTGATAGTCAGTTGACAGAGTGAACTTGAGCTTCTACAAAACCCCGTGAAACCGCTTAGCTA